GTAGACCAGGAATTTGAAGACGGGGAAACGAATATTAGCATTAGCCGGTTATGACGTGGTATCAATGAGCTATTAGCAGCCAATACCTAAATCGGCGGCTCGACCAAAGGATCGAGGATCCATCATGCATGCCTTCTTCCTTAAGTAGGTAGGTAGGCACATGAGAGGCGGGAGAGAGCTTAGGGGTCACGGATATACAGGGAAGGGCTTGATAGATAGGCGTACAAGGAAATACGAGACTCTCCAATCTGTATTGCATTGATTCCTGTACTATTATGGACTTTGAATGGAGAGTAAAGGGTGGATGATGGAATGGCAAAAAGCCCTTAACTCAAACCCACGGGCTTCCAAATAATTTATGAGCAAACTTGAGCGGTATTAATATGAAAAGACGAAGCCCGATGCAAGTGTGGGTTTAGCTCGTCTATGTATTTGCTATTCTTTTGTCTCGTACATAGGTAGTCTGTCACAGACTTGACCGACGGACTTGACCTTGTAAGCCGTAGAGCAGCCGCCCTAGCGCCGTCCTTTTATCTCAAGTTCGGACCTGAATGACTATGCAGGATGGTAGGTCCCCGAGGGGGGTAGGTAGGTAGGCCGGTAGTATCTCCTGACCACTTACTCACTGCCGAATCACTTCAGGGGTGGCCCGACATCGACATCTCTACCTAGCAACGATACCCTACCCACGTGCGCTCATGTAAAGTGTGCACAAATTAACATACACACACACGTAGAGAAACCAGACTCTTTACGCTCTCTCGCTACCCCGCAGTCTCACAGCTTGCCCGTACTTCTGTAGCTTGGTGATGAGCTGGTCACCCTGCTTTACGACGTCCTGGTACTGCTTGTTCTTATCGTCGGGCCGGTTCGTCTCGATGATGCCCTTGCCCGTGACACGGTCGATGGTGCAGGGGATGCGGCCGGCGGCGATGAACTTGGCCAGATCACTTTTTGCAGCGGGGATTACGTTAGCTAGGGGTTTCCAAGGTGTTTAGGGGGAGGGGAGGGGGCGAAGGGAGAAGAGGAGCGCGAGGGAGAGACGGGGAAAGCAAAACATACCGGTCCAGAAAGTCGACGGTGACGCCGAAGTCGCTGGCCATGCTCTCGAGCCCGACGACGCGGTAGCTCTGCAGCAGCTGCTGGTAGGCGCGCAGGCGCATCTCGCGGATGAACCAGGCCTTGTGCTCGAGCAGGTAGCGGTCCTGGGTGAGGAACTGCTCCTCGACGAGCGCGAGCGCCTGAAAGAACAGCTTGTAGTTGCCGCTGTACAAGCTGTTGACGAGCTGCGCCAGCGACGAGAAGTCGACGGCCGCCTCGGCCTCGGGCTGGTCCGAGCCCGTGCCCAGCGTCGTCAGGTTCACCACGCCGGCCGCCTTGGCCGCAGCCAGGGGCGTGGTGGTGCTGGCGCTGCTGGCGCCGGTGACGGCAGCCGCCGCGTCCTTCGGCGACGAGCCAGCGACGGCATTAGCGTCCTGCATCGAGGCGTCCTCGGCGCCGGGCCCCGCCGAGATGGCCCCCGACAGCGCGAGCAGCTTGTCGTCGCCGTCGGCGCCCAGGATGGCCTTGATCTCGGGCGCGTCCACCACCTTGCTCTTGAAGTCGACGCGCTTGAGCGAGACGGAGCCGGCCAGGACCGAGTAGACGACCAGGTTCGAGTACGTGCAGAGCTCGTAGCTGGTGAAGGTGGAGAGGGAGTCGAGGAGCAGGGGGGCGGCGAGGTTGTACGATCGGACCGTGAGCAGGTGGATGCCCTCGTAGGCCTTCAGGCGGTTGCGACGGTCCCAGTCGCCCCCGCTCTCTACCAGCGCTTTCGCCCGGATCACCTCCTTCTTGACGTAGGACTTGTCGCCGAAGAACAGGCCGACGCGGATCATGGCGAGCACGAGATCGATCTTCGTACCGAGGATGCCCGTCTTCTCGAAGACGTCCTCGTAGGCTGCTATTGCCTTGTCCTGTAGTCTATACGTCAACATCTATTCACCGTGAGATCTGATAGAGCCAAGACATGTCAAACTCCCACATACCTTGTCGCCGATCCTAGCAAAGAACTCAGCGCGCTTTCCTCTGGCACCCATAATCTCCGTCTCGCCAGCCTTCTCGACAGCCTCGTCCTCCTCCTTCTGTATCTCCTCCAGCTCCTTGTCGTTGTCCGCCTTGAGCTTCTGGTAGACATCCTCGTCCCATGGCAAGTTCGCACCGGGGGCAGGGCTCTTGCTCGCGACCATGCCAGCCGCGCTAGATTTCCGTCCCAAGGACTTCTGGACTGCTGATGCTGATGACGTGCTCTCTCCGACAGCGTTCAGGATGCCTTCGGTTGGGTGTGCGAGGTGCTTGTACAGCGGGGCCATCTTGTGCTCGCTGATAGCATCTTGTAAGCTCTTCACGGACGCCTGCTGAGCAGGCCGGGAGGCATAGGGATTCGTGAGGATGAAGACATGCTGGGCTAGAGGCAGCAGAGGCCATTTGGCGTATTGCGGATCGGAGCCCATGTTCGAGGTGTCGGTTGCCAGGAAGTGCAGGATACGAAGGTGTAGGGGTGCTCAATTCTCAACGAGCAGGACAGGAGTCTCGGTATACCGGCTTCAGAGAGGAATCGAATTCGCCGTAAAACGTCGTGATAATGTCGATGATGGGTTTGTTTGCTATTTGGTAGATGATCATCAGCACATCAGAAGCGAGAAAGTAACAACTGGAACAGCTCCCCGTTGCTGGTTGCCAGTAAGAAGTGGTCCAAGCTCACAAATACTATGTACTCAAGGCCGCAGTTTCCCTACGTAACAAACAGCCCGCCATGTGGGTCCCAGACTCCCAGTGCCATTTGAGGCTGATCGATGGAATGGCAGAATGGACATGGAGGTATCCACATACCACCTAAGTATTCAAGTACCTATTAGATACATCTGTGTCGGGTATCCCCACCTGCCCAGATGCTTGAAGTAAGAGCGAGCTAGTTAGGTCAGACCCACACCTGCGCGCGCCTTCAACCGTTACTTGGATCTGGCGACTCAGCTTTACTTTGTACAGCTTTACTTTGTACTCCAACAACCCTGAACCAACCATCTACCACCTGCCATCCTCGCACTTGCAATTTCACAATCAATTCCAACTCGGCGCGATACAGTATCGTAAAATCCGCTCCATCCTTCTGAAGAGACGCCAAATCGATCTACAATTATCTCACTGTACCGCAACACTCGATAGCCCGAATCGACAACAGCCGTCCTGCCACAATGGCGACGGACGACAACGACGATCTCCCCCAGCCCTTCGACGCGAAGAAGCTCGAGCCGGCCAAGAAGCGGCAACGATCCAGATCGCCGTCCGAGGCACCGCGGAAGCAGAAGCGGCCGGGCCAGCGGGCGCGGATCCCCGACGCGCAGGTCGCCTCGTTCCGGCAGCGGCAGGAGCAGCGGGAGCGCGAGGCCGCCGAGGCCGCCGCCACGCGGGCCGTGCTCGCGCAGCGCGGCATCAACGACGTGGTGCGGGAGCACTACAACGCCGTGCCGGAGCGGGGCCGCGACTGGCGCAAGACCGACAGCCGCATCAAAGGCCTGCGCTCGCTCAACAACTGGGTCAAGAGCACCATCATCCAGAAGTTCTCGCCCGACGAGGACCACACGCCCGGCGCCCACGAGCACGGCCGCGACATGGCCGGCGCCGCCCACGACCTGCTCGTCCTCGACATCGGCTGCGGCAAGGGCGGCGACTTGGGAAAGTGGCAGCAGGCCCCGCAGCGCGTCGGCCTGTACGTCGGTCTCGACCCCGCCGACATCTCCATCGACCAGGCGCGGGACCGGTATCGTAGCATGGGAAACCGTGGTGGCGGCGGCCGGGGTGGCCGGGGCGGGCATAGAGGCCGTCCGCCACCGCGTTTGTTCGACGGCCGGTTCTTCATTAAGGACTGCTTCGGTGAATCGATTGAGGACATCGAGATCATCCGGGATGTCGGGTACGACCTCTCGCCGATGGGGCGGAGCGGCTTCGACATCGTCAGCATGATGTTCTGCATGCACTACGCCTTCGAGAACGAGCAGAAAGCCCGGCGGATGCTGGAGAACGTCTCGGGCGCGCTGAAGAAGGGCGGTCGCTTCATGGGCTGCATTCCCAACTCGAACATTATCGGCGAGCGGGTCATCGAGTTCAACAAGCGCATGGAGGCGAAAGCAAAAACTCAATCTGCTCCCGCGAAGGCTGAAGGCACTGATGCCAGTGCCGGTGCCGACGCCGGTGCCAGTGCCGATGCTGATACCGATACCACACCCACCGCTACTACCACCGCGGCACCGCCCAAGGAGGACCGAGAAGAGGGCGAGGCGGAGGAAACAGCAGAATGGGGCAACGAGCTCTATCGGGTTAGATTCCCGGGCAAGACGCCAGCTGACGGCATTTTCCGGCCGCCGTTCGGCTGGAAGTACAATTTCTACCTACACGAGGCGGTCGAGGAGGTTCCGGAGTACGTCGTGCCGTGGGAAGCGTTCCGCGCCCTCGCCGAGGACTACAACCTCGAGCTGCAGTACCACAAGAGGTTCGCGGATATCTGGGAGTCGGAGAAGGACGACCACATCCTCGGCCCCTTGAGCGAGCGCATGGGCGTGCGGGGCCGGGGCCGGGGCGATTTGCTGGTGACGCCCGAGGAGATGGAGGTCGCTAACTTCTACGTGGCCTTCTGCTTTTACAAGGTTTAGGGTCTCACGAAGACGACAATAATACAAATCACCATGAAAGCTGAACTACCTAAGCCTTGCAACGAAGGTCCCTCCTGCATCGTCAGAGCATGCTGGCTTCCTATCACCTATATAGGAGCAGTTCTGCTGTATGCAACTAATAATATTATGAAAGTAGTTAGCTAATAAACCAAAATATTTAGGTGCTAGATCTGCAGTGTCCCACTTCGCGGCCACTTCGTGGCTAATGATGGCCGCACTGCGGGGCTCCGGGGCAACGTTTTCTGCAAGCCCGAAATATAGGAACAGATTGTGTTACGAAAATCACGGTCTGTCTTCGTGGCTCAGTTGGTTAGAGCGCCGGTCTCATACTACAACAAAGGGGGGATGTTATAGTCCCTCCCTACTACGTGTGAAACAGCCTATAGGCTGGGATATCCGGAGATCGCCAGTTCGATCCTGGCCGAGGACATTTTTTGCTATTCTTGCGTCTTTCGTGGTGTGTTGTTTGGTAGCCATATTCCGTTCCCGGTTGCCAACGGTAATGCATTTCGATAATGACAATCACCCGACGACAAGCACGCCAAGCACTGCAAGCAGACCTTTCAAGTTTTTGGCGATTTCCTCTGCAAGTCACTATTGACCCGAGCTAGGGATTTTGGATCGTGAGCGTTTGCCGCTAGTGCCTTACTTCCAATCGTCCTCGTACATAGTAATAGTCGTCCGCGTCGGGTAGAATTCCGGTCCCCGGCCTTCGCGCGTAGCTCTTTGGCCAGCCAGGCCATGTAGCTACTCGAGATCTTCTTCTCTGTTGGACCATACCATGCACACATTCCCCCAGAGCCCATTGTTTTGCTTGTAGCCCATGTGCGCCTGGAAGTACGCGCGCTGCGTGGGACGTTAGTACTCCATGTCCGGTCCGGGGACCTCAGCCTCAGGTGCCGGAAGACGTTCGACCAACTGCGGCCGCCCGCATGTATTATGATGCCATTCAAGTTCATCCGCCTAATGGGGGAGGTAGAGGACGGGGTGTGATTGCGTGGGTCCTCCCGAGAGCAACTTGAGCAACGTCGACTCGGACGTCCAGAAGCGGGTGAGCGACATCATTTCAGGCCCTTACGGTATCGGGCGCCGGGTTCCAATCCAGCCAGCCCCTCCAAGTCCAGGTACCTAATGGATAGCGGCTCACGCCAGGGATTCCAGGTTGCTGCACGGGGCGACGAGCGCGAACTTACTGGGAGCTTGTTGATGGCTAATGACATAAATCTTCTTGCACACTAGGGAACCTCTATTTTCCAGTAATGGGGCGTCCCGTAGCTTACGTAGGCAATCTATGCATCGCAATCAAGCTCGTTGCTCGCAAGTTCCCAAATCAAGGAAGCTCTCGCAATGCAAGATGTTCCAGCCGGCTACCTAGCCAGCTAGCCAAATCAAATCAGGGTGGAGAGTAAATCGGTACCTTGTGGGTCTATGACACGCCGGCGGGGGTCGATCATGCAGTTCGCGAAGGACCCCTGGGAGTCTGGGACCCGGGAACCCTGAGGTGCAACAGGACTTTGTTTCATGATAGTTACCTAGGACTTTGACGTCCGCCCTGTCTTGAAGTTGACAGATACATATCTAGTCCATGTGCTTCCTCGCTTCTCACTTCTGTCACGGCCGTTTCTTTCCTCAAGTAACGACGAGAACTTAGTCACATCTGATTCCAATCAAATACCAGTCTCATCCTAGACCAACGGCGCAGTTCAAGATGGTGGGTCCCAGCGTCTTCTCGTCAGAAGATGGGAGAAAACCAAGATCACTGATCGAGATGAATAGGCTAGAACACTATCACCGGAGGAGATTCAAGTCTTCAAAGATCTCTTTGATTCATACGTAGGTACCTTCCAGAAAACGATTTATACAGGATCATTCTAATCGTGTCCTAGGATACAGATAAAGGCGGTTAGTGCTTCACTCTGGGTTTGCTTTAGCTCAGGATTGTGGGCAGGACCAGTTTTCTAATTCCATACCTAGGCAACATCAGTGTCGAGGAATTCGCCAAAGTGATGTCTCAGAGCCCAGGCCAAGTGCCTACCGAGGCAGAGATCCAGCAGATTATCAATGAAGTCGATCTCGATGGAGATGGAACCATTAACTTCAACGGTAAGGGCGCCTGTACTTCTACCCCTGGCCTGGCGATACCGAGAAGATTTAAGACCATCATCTGCTGGTTTTGCATTGACGCCGAAGAATAAGGTGCTAACCCCTGGCAGAGTTCATCACCATGATGACGGGTCAACCATACCCACCGCAAGACGAAGATGCCCAGTACGCGAGTGCATGGAAGCAGTTTGAACCGTCCCTCAACGGCTCTCTTACGCCCAGCCAGTTTAGGCAGCTGATGGCAGAACTGGGCGAGCCGGTTAACGACACCGAAGTCGAGAACCTGATTAACAACGTAGATGGGGAAGGAAAGCTAGACTGTAAGTTCAAGGGTTTACTCTAGTGTCTAAAGAGAGAGTCCACTAACTGGTTTTGAGATAAAACGTTTATACACTTCGTAAAGAACAGGAACGTGGAGAGCGACATTCTCAGTGGGTATGAATGACGAGTCCCAAGTGTTGTTCAGTATATGTTCAAGGTCAAATAAAGACGCATATCGTCGAGTAATTTACCCTTTCAACCCTATTGGGCCCAACGAACCTGGAGCACTGTTTCGAGTAACACGTATCACAAGCGGTCTTTGCCTACTACTTATAGAATTGTACTATTTATTCCGCAATCGTGGTAAATGCCGGGCTAACCCCTACCGACAACGCAGCCCCTCTTCCGGCGGCAACGTTCCATAACAGGAATGAACCGCCGCCCGGCTCCGCATGGAGCAGCTGGGAAAACACGTCTACCCGGTGCATAGATAGACCGACTTGTCATAACTCCGGAAGGTCCAGATCATAATCGTTCTCGTATAAAGCTCGTGGATCTTCTCCAACACGCCATTGTAGGCGGGAATTGCGACTGACTACCCAGGTAAGCACGCGTGACGCTGCCGTCGCACATCATAGCGCCTCTATATCAGAACAGAGTCTGGTGGCAGTGCCCAGCGAACGAACGAGTAACCGCCTACGCCACCGCAAAACAGCAGCAGCGACAACGATGCGGAGAACACCAGTACCGGCAGGCGCGCCAAAACGCCGACGCGCGTCATCGCTGCTCGGGTTCCTCGGCGTCCCATGCTGGTTAATAGCAATGGCGGCTGCCGCGCATGCGGAGGTCGGTCCGCCGGCGCCGTACCTGCAGACGCCGTCGGCGCGGCAGCTCGAGTGGCACGGGCTGGAGTACTACGCGTTCGTGCACTTCGGCCCCAACACCTTCACCGACGAGGAGTGGGGCCTCAGCCAGAGCCCGCCCGACGTGTTCGCCCCGACGGCCCTGGACACGGACCAGTGGGCCCGGTCGCTGGCCGATGCCGGCGCCGCCGGCTTGATATTGACGGCTAAGCACCATGATGGCATGGCATTGGTGAGCCGAAAAGCCTCAAAGGGGTGGAGGGGTCAATGATCTATTTCTTTCATAGCTTGTTCTTTGCACGGTCGTTGAAGTTTAAGTCTTAGGCTCAGGGGGGAAAGGGGGGAGGGTGTATGTATTATGTATATTATGTATGAGTATGTTTGGAAAGGCTGGACTTGGCATATCCGCAAGAAATTTGCTGACTCCAGGTGTTGGTTGGCTGCAGTGGGAAACCAACACGACGACGTACCAGATCGGCCGTGGTCAGTGGGCGCTCGACCGCGTCGCCCGCGGGCTCGACGCCGACGTCGTGCGCATGGCGGCCGCGTCGGCCCGGCGGCACGGCCTGCGCTTCGGCGTCTACCTGTCGCCGTGGGACATCCACCGGGACCCGGCGATGCCGAAGCCGCAGCTAGCCGGCACGCCGTACGACGAGCCGCAGATCTTCGGCGACAACAACACCAGCCCCGACGCCGGCAACTACAACGAGCTCTACGCACGCCAGCTGACGGAGCTGGTGACGATGCAGCTGCCGAGCGATCCCGGAAATGCAGGAGGAGGAGGAGCGGGGGAGCAAGAGTCGGTGGTAGTGGAGCTGTCGGAGGTCTGGCTCGACGGCGCCAGCGGCTCCGACACGGTGCAGACGTTCGACTGGGCCTCGTTCCGGGACATCATCCGGCTGCACCAGCCCGGGGCGGTCATGTGGGGTCACCAGGGCGTGGACGCGCGCTGGGTCGGCAACGAGGACGGGCGCTCGGCCGCGACCAGCTGGCACACCATCGACCGCACGCAGGACGACCCGCGCTACGGCGAGGCCGAGCTGGAGGCGGGCGTGCGCGACGGCGCGCACTGGACGCCGGCCGAGGCCGACGCGCGCCTCCGCGACGGCTGGTTCTGGCACGCCGCGGAGCAGCCCAAGACGCCCGCCGCCCTCATGGACATGTACCTGGCCTCGGTCGGGCGCGGCGTGAACCTCCTGCTCGACGTGCCGCCCGACGCCACCGGGCTGATCCCGCGGGCGGACGTGGACGCCCTGCTGGGGTTTAGGGCGGCGCGCGACGCGTTCCTGAACCGGACGCTGCTGGCGCCGGGGCTGGCGACCAACGCGAGTAGTGTCCGCGGCGGCGACGAAAACTCGACGATGCGCTACGGACCGGCTAATGTGCTCGATGGGAGCAGCGATACGTACTGGGCGCTGGACGACGAGCAGACGACGGGCGCGCTAGAGGTGCAGCTGGGCGGTACGTGCCTCGTCGATGCGTTCGTCACGCAGGAATACATCGCCCTGGGCCAGCGCATCGGCGGATACGCAGTGGATGCGTTCGTCGACGGTGCGTTCGTGGCGCTCGTCAACGGTAGGTCGCTGGGATACAAGCGTATAGACAAGCTGGACGCGCCGGTGGAAACGAACCGGATACGGTTCCGTGTCACGCAGGCAAACGCGACACCCCTGATCATGAGCTTTCAGGCGCTTGGGACGCTGAAGACGACTGCGTGAAACGTGTGGGATTGCAGATTGGTGGAGGCAAGTGCTGGCTGATACGGTGTTAATGAAAGCTGGAAACGGAGTCGCTCCAGAATCCTCCTGTTGTAGAACACCACCACGCATTGATTAGTTATCATTTATTCGCGAACGCCTCAGCGTCCGCATTTTGTATATACATGAACACGATGTATACAGGGTTTATAGCACATTTGATTGTCTATCTTCCATCAACGCCTCTATACGGCCTCGACCCAAGTGGCAATTGTATCCGTGGTGGATGAACGAGCTGGCCACCGCCACAGTGCATCTCGCCTAAGCAAACAAATAATAACCTCCCCAGCGGCCTCCGTCTCTCTCTGACCATCCTCCGGTCTCTATTCCTCGAACCGTTGGTAGGTTGATCCCCTGTGGAACTTCTTCACACGACGTATCTGTCTCGATGGTCCCTCCTTGATAGTGGAAAGGCGATTGCCATTGTAGTGGTTGCGCTCCTGGTC